TATATATGTATATATATATATGTATAGTAGCATGTAGTGGCTAATCCGTAAGCAAATTAGTGCTTAGTTTTTGTAATTGAGTGTTTTTACGATCACTAGCGATCGCGGTGCCCATTGGCGAAGTTTAAAATCATTGACTACCTTGAACGCTCTCAACAGTGTTTTGTCACATATAAACCCAAATAGAGGAAAGATGATTGTCTGTGGAACAGGCATTATTCTTTAAAAGCTGTTTCGTTTTTTTCTCATCAGGTACTTCTCGCATGTAGGGGAAATCATAGACTTTGTCAAAACTCATTCAACACTCTCGCGACGAGTGGCCTCTATAGGTGTCACACTGAAGTTGCAGGAGTGGCCGGGATGACCTCTATAGATTTCGTCTTCTTTCTGGTGGCTTATTTTGACACAAAAATTGTAAAAATAAAAACACACTAAGCTGCTTTCCTACACTTCTCGTAGTCATTGGATAGCCTATCCAACGCAGGTGCTATGGCGAGCTTCGTCCATGAGAAGGTCTCTTAATAATTTGTCACAGTCTCTTTTTTCGAGGAGAGACTATTGCTATTGGAGAGTGTGCTGAGTAGACAGAGCGGTTAGTGAAGCGGCGCAGACGCCCTGCCTCAAGGTATTTGTATCGCATGCAGTGTGAAGCACCATTATTGCTAAAGAACTCATTATTTTTTATTGCCATCCACTGTGAGGGGTGCGTGTAGCACAGTGGTCGTTGGCGCACTGCAATATACACGGGATCGACCCACGCGACCAGGTCCACCGAGCTCTCCATAACTCTGGGGTCGGCAAATTCGTACCAGACTTGCCTGAAAGGATGGCGGCACTGGCTCGATACATCGAAGGCCACCGTGGTTATTGTAAAGGCCAGATATGCCTTATATCACCTCCAATGATGCTTAATGAAGTCGAATGCGTGGAGCATCCCCAACGGATAGTGTGGACATGGTGGACAAGTGGTTTTCATCACACAGAAGGATCATATATGCGCTAAAAACATGTAAGGAAAATGCATAAATTCTCTCAAGATTTGGAGCAAAGCAGATTTATAGAACGGAGATTACAACAAAAGGGGACGGAGTGAGCTAAATAATAGCTGCCGGAGTGGCCGTCGTCGCCTCCATAGGTGTTGCGGTAAGCACAGCAAAAAATTATGCTCCGTTATTTCCACAGGAAAACGAAATTGGACGGATCGCGAAGGTGTTAATTTTAGTTAATTTCATAGCTATTTGGTGATCCCGTCCTATCCTCCTCGAAAATTTCCATAACTTCCCGCTTTTCGATTCTCCAAAGAGAAACATTTTAAGTAGCGACTTCGGCTTAGTAGCTAAGACTGAATTGTTCTTACTTCACTGTTTATTTAGGCACTACTGTATAGGACATGAAATGCTCATATACCGAGCAAAAACAGCTATGAAAGATGGTTTGGTTCGACCTCGTGACAACGAAGCCTCTTATTCTCGGGGTTCGTCAGTTTGGTACCAATCTTCTTTGAGACAGCTCACTGCGACCCAGAAAGCCCTGTGGCTGCCTGTAGTTAACACCTAGTGATCTTCTGGTCGGACTATCTCAGGGCTACATGGAGAATCAACTCGACCAACGTTCACCAACGTTCATAAAGAAGACAGAGTGGCAAAGCGTAAGCTAAATCTACACTCAAATCCGAAGAATTTCGTGGGTGATGGTTACACGATAACGAGCCCAATTAGAAGTCTTATCCGGCAGGATAGGAATTCCCTTGTTTTACCACGATGGAATTTTAATTTTTGAGAATTTATGCTTTCCACTTTATTGTTTCAAAGCTCGTACTTTAAAAATGAAAGCAGATGAACAGGCGGAATTTCGTTCAGCTGAGAAAGTGGTGTTCCTCAGTATGTCGTTTATTTGCGGTTGCCGTTCTTCCGTTGGAATTGTTTGAAAAAAAGGCTGTCAGCGTTGATCAATCGCTGTGGGATACGCCATGCAATCGACTTCATTAAACATTGTTGGAGTTTATCGAACGCATATCTGGCCTTTACAATGACTCGCGGTGGCCTACCGATTCATCGAGCTAGTGCTGCTATCCCTCCCAGAGAATTCTGGTACCAATTTGCCGACCCCGGAGGAATGGAAGGCTTGGTGGACCGGGGGTGTGGAAATCGATTCCATATGTTTCGAAACCGACTTTCCTTGAACCTCGGTACCACTAATCAATATGTATTCTTTCTTTGATGAGCTGACACGAGGTTGTAATGATATTTATTTTCGGCTAACGTTTCGACGTCTTCGTCTTCCTCAGAACCGATGTTCCGAGTCGATGGTCCATGCTTGTTATTCGTCTCGACGTTGCAGCTTCGCCTTCGTGTCGAGTCAGGTCTTCCTCAGTGAGCCATCTCCTCGAATGAGGCATCCTCACTCAGTGTCATTATCAACGTCGTGTCAGCTCATCAAAGAAAGAATACATATTGATTAGTGGTACCGAGGTTCAAGGAAAGTCGGTTTCGAAATATTACTACGCTTTGTGCTAGCTGGTAAAAACACCGACTTCTGCACGATGTGCGCAATGATGTATGCCAGGAAGAAATACAAGTTGTTACCACCGGACATTATCATCATATCCACCATCAGCATCGTGTATAAAAGGGCATCACTGAGTGAGGACGCCTCATTCGAGAAGATGGCTCACTGAGGAAGACCTGACTCGACACGAAGGCGAAGCTGCAACGTCGAGACGAATAACAAGCATGGACCATCGACTCGGAACATCGGCTCTGAGGAAGACGAAAACGTCGAAACGTTAGCCGAAAATAAATATCATTATCAACCTCGTGTCAGCCCATCAAAGAAAAAATACATATTGATTCCATATGTGTTACAGGGCGTCTTCGACCACTGCGCCATATGCGTCCCTACTAGAAACTTAAATTTCGTTGCAGTTTTTTGGAACTTCCAATTCTAAACGTACATAAACTTGAAAGGACACTGCATAAAAGTGATCCATGTTATTGTTGTAGTAAATCAAAGTCTCTCCTATAAATCGATACTGTTCTGACATCCTGGAATGTTAATCGAAAAATGTCTGTCTATGGCCGAAAAACCAGCTTTATCTCGAATATGTTAAAGAAGTGGTGAGACCCTAAGAAAATAATAAGTAAGGCCACTTTAGTAATAAAACTAAAATTAGAATTAAGTAATTAATCAATTAACTAAGTAAGTACACATTACATTGGGCCTGCCACATTGCCCTCGATCGGTTAGTCTACTTCTGACGGGAAGTTTTTTAATCCTGGGGAGCCCGTGTTGCAGAGTATTACACACATTTCTTTGATCCACACACAAGTCCAGGTGTTCACCGTTCCTGAAGGCCTAAGAATGCCATTCCGAGATTTAGGAAAAACTACACTTGACCAGTATTCAGTGTGCCAATGATGAAAATTCTCAGACCACAGCCTACTCCTCATGAGAGTTAGTCTAACTGCATTGGTGAAAATAAAAAGATAGTTATCTGAGTGGAAGAAGTGCTGTACTCGCATCACGTGGGGCAGCTTGACCTTCTAGTTATCGAAGTAGTTCACTGACCGTTTTCAAATGTGTTAAATAGGTGAAAAACTGTTACGAAGGGAACTGTTCCACTCGTAACAGCACGGCTCTGAAGAAGGCGAAATCGCAGAAACGTTAGCCACCGACCAACAACACCAACAAGATGAAGAACTGTAGCACTTCGAGTTCCAGCGATGACTGGCTAACAAGCGCAAAAGTGAATTTATTCATATAAGCTTGACCTTCTCAATTCCTTCTAGTACTTCTCTTTAGAATATTCCCACTTATTATTGCATTCCTATTGTATGGTCTGTGTTGTCTGGTTAATATCTGCCTTTAGGCGATTTGGGCTCCCCAGATCAATTCCGCTGACGGGTGATTGCTTATAGCACCGATCGATAGAACTAGCTGAGAGACAGGCGAAAGGAAGGATCCGCGTGGTGTTGTGGTGAACGCGTTAGCCCCCGGATAGGATAACAGCGCGTTCGTTTCACACCGCAGACGCCTGCAGTCCGGAGTTTTGCAAATATCTCAACACCGTTGTGGTTGTGTCACAGATAATACCCTGCCGTGAAAAGTGGTAGGCAGTAAATAAAAATTGACATTCTGCCTTTAGTTTTCGAATTCTTACTAAATGCGGCTGAAATATAGTAGAATAGTCAACGTGGACTTCTAGCTTATTACTTCACCGGAGTGTTTAATGGAACTTGAGGGAACAATGAGCCTGCGTTCATTCGTAGGTCTTGCTGCTTTAGATGTCGTATGGAAAAGTTTTCGTAATTTTGAAGGATTTCTACGAAGAATGGACAATGCTGACTTGGAACGTGCTTTGCATTACTGGTCGCTTGCAGAACAATCTCAGTTCACAGAATGTCATTTCTAACGACGACAAAGTCATCTACCAACGTTTGAATCAAGCGCTCGTCGAGTTGGTCAATTATTCAAAGTAAGCTCTCCATTCTTTCTTTTCCGTCGACTTTCATTAATAGTCATTTCTACGTTTCCCTTTTTGCTCTATTTTTTGTCTGAAGGATCCTTTTATTATTATTTTCCCATTCATTTGTTTATTTTTCTTCCTTACCTTCTTCATGTTCTTGAGATCGTAGGCTGATATTCCATAGCGAAATGTTGCAGTGTAAACATGCCATTTATGGGTTACTATCAGGATACGGACTTTGAAGTGTTACGTCAGAACACCGAGAGGACGTTGCAAGAGTTGTATCTGCTGACGAGGTTCATACCTTGGTTGTGTCGTAAAATTGAAGACAGAAAGCTTAGAAAAGAGCAACCGATAGAAAAAATTGAAAAAGAACAGAAAGAGAAGTATGACCTAATAAATAAGTGAGCAAAACGAGAAGTGCAGTTTTGTTATCCCTTGTTTTAGGCAATTTACCATGACAACATTTCACAACCACGTTGAAGTGGAAAACTTTCGTAGGTTGTGCATACAATTTGGAGAGCAGTTCCTCGGTCCATGCATTGACCATCTGAAGGTGGGCGTTGTTTTCTCGATCAGGTTGTTCCTTTTGAAGTATGTCCTCCACATAGGCGTTCTGCAACATGTACAGTGTGGCAAGATGGCGTGATGTACGGGCGGCACAGATCGCCCGAATGCGCGACCAAGGCACCCAGTTGGATGAGCCAGTCACCAGCCTCGTCGCCTTCTACTCGATCATGATGTACATACTAGCCGTACTCGCGGCCAGGCTTCAAGTGAGAAGCACGTTTTTGTCTAGCATTTTCTGTGTTGCGACAACTGGTGCCTTCACATCCTGGTTTTGAAAGCAAATACTGAAGTTGTTCGAAGTAGTGAAGGAGGCAAAATGCATGGTACCTAAAACGCGACACTCCATTTTGCTAGAAATTCTGAACACGTAACAAAATCGCAATTGGCCACGATTTCCGAGTTTCTCATATCTTAACGTTTTTAATATCAAGAAAAACGACCGAGTACCAAGTAACCAACTAATATTATGACTAATTACGTGTGTTGTTTTGAGCTCCATTTTTCGTCCTTTTCTCTGCTCATTCGCAGTTGCGCACAGATATTCGGGAGTTGGGAAAAGTGCACTCGCGCCAGACTCGCAGGTTCTAAGAAAAGTTCTTTGCGAATACTCGTGCAGACGGATTGTAGGGACTTCGATACGAGATCACCATCATGAAAAAGGTGTTCGTTTTGGACGACCAGGTGGGGCAGCTCTCTCAGACGGTGTTTGGTGCGTTGGAGTTACTGATGAGCGACTGCGTGTTGGCCACCGAGCCATCCACCACTGCCATTCTCGTCACCAATAATCTATTCAGGTATCTCTTGCTTTTTATCAGATTTCTCCAACTTTTTCGAAACTAAGATGGTTTTTCAATAACTGACTATGAGTTATTAATCAATAAAGTATTCCAGGAGTTCAGATCACAATATTAATATATGCATGGAAGGTACTTCGTTGTGGTGCTCTAATCGTTTATTTCATTTTCATAGGGTCTCTTTTGAATTTTAAATTTTTTTAAAGTTGAAACGTACCAAAAGCTGGTAGAAAAGTTCACGTTTGAAAAATTTAGAACACCAACTGCAAACATAGTCGATGCGCTGGAGAACTTGATTTCATCCTAGTCACCGAAATTCCTGTTGTTTATTTGCTTTCTTTTTCGAAATATGAGCTTTGGAGCGATAAAGTGGAAGGAATATGTACATGGGCTCCAGAAAATCAGAATTTCATTACGGTAAAAGAAGAAATTCTATCTTGCAGGGAAAGATTTGTAGATCCTAATTTATTGAGGTCACATCGTCTTGTCTGTCGTCTTAACATCGTAAGTGTTAACCAGCGAAGGAAAAAGCTCTGTGGTCGTCTATTGTTTTGCCTTACCTGGTTACTTGTATACGTGGACTGCCCGTTCTAACTAGTTGTGCGGGCCACAGCATATTCTCCATTTTTCGGAGTTTTGCTGGTTTAGCCATTGTTTCTCTAGAGTCCCGATGCCAGCCTGGCCAAAGTTTTCTCCAGGTTGTCACCGCCGTACGCAGTCGCCACCCTTGTGGTTCAGAAGATTTGCCTCCATGCGATTATTTTGATGCCAGGACGGTGGTGGGGCCTGGTATTGGTTTACTGATAGCTGGGCTTCCTAGTGGAAACGCCGTGCTCCTCAGCATCGGAGACCCTGCCAGAGGATAAATCACCCCACTGTGTACAGTCTCAGCGCGACACCCAGGTACACCTTCCAACCACGATAAGGTGGTAAATTGTTAGGAAGTGCCTATACAATTAGCTACATAAATTAAAAATCCACTCGGCATTCTTACTTTGCCATGATAGTTTTAGTTTTCTTTCTTTGTAACGTCTTCTGAGGGTGCGAGTGGCGCAGTGGTCGTAGGCGCCCTACAACATACACCTAGAATGGATTCTCGCGCCCATGGCCCACCAAGTCTTCCATCCCTACGGGGTGGGCAGATTAGTGCCAGACTTGCCTGGGAGGATAGCAGCACTGGCTCTATATCGGTAGGCCACTGCGAGCCATTGTAAACGCCAGATATGCATTCAGTCACCTCCAAACGATGCTTAATGAAGCCGAATGCATGACGCGTCTCTCAGGGATTAACCAACGCCGTGAGCTTTATCCTTTATCCTTTTAAACGTTTTATGAGGAAAAATTGGATTTTTTTGGCTTTCTTTCTGTTTCGTGCGTGGCCTGCGATGTAATGCTTTGTTTCTCTGATTTATACGTACGTTGTTTTCCGGATAAATAGATTTCAACTAGATTATGTTTATAATGAGTCTGCAAATATATGTATTCAGCATGAATTGTGGCGCACTTGCCAGAGGAGTCGTCTTCAAAGATTTCGAGATTCAGATTGTCTCAGAGGAGACGGCTGAGAATATTCAGGTCTTATGACTTTTTTCATTGACTTATTCTTAAAACGTTGTGGAAACTTCTTATTGAAGAAGTTCTACATCGCATACCAACTTCAGCTACTTTCTAGTGCTTGTGATCTATTACTTTCATGCCTCCAGTAATCAGTACATTTATGCTCTGCTTTCACCTTCTCCGAAATAGTGGGAACAACTAAAAATAGAATTTCAGTCGGAGATGAATCGTGCGCGTCTGCTTCAGCAGTCGAATCAGATCTCGCAACCTCCTTCGGCTGCTCTCCTCGCTATGAAGCCAACATCTGGAACGAAGAGAAGTAACGCCATCAGCAACGGAGGTGGTTTCGCATGCTCTTGAATTCGTATGTTTTAGTTAAGCACACCAAGTGATCTCCAATATTTCTTTCTGAAGTAGTTTTGAATAAGGAATGAGTTTTTGCAGCAGCGCCAACGAGGACGACTGTCGTTCAGATTTTGGTAGGCGGAGTTGTCGTCGTTGGGGAGGGACTTCTTTTCTACTATTCAGTAATTAAAGGGGTTAATTGGTCTTGGCTGGTAATTAATTAGTTTTAGCCGGGAAGCTTTACCCATCGAAGAAGTGAAGAAAACCGCCATGAGAATTACCGAAAGCATTAAGAAGTCAATAGCAGAGTTTTGAATCCTCTCATGTTCTTGAGATTTTTGAGAAAAGCCAAAATACCGCCGTCTTTCTTGTGATTTGCAGAATCTCAAATTCTGATGACTAAGATCTCTGGCAACCCAATATAGAAAGTTCGATTTAATTAAAGGGTTCGCCAATGTGTTTTTTTAAATAAGCCGGGTATTTTAAGAAAATGTGACGAGCCTAAGGTATATGTTTAAGGCTGTGGCAGCGACCTCATTAGCAGAAAAAGTACAAAGCTGACCTGTTGTCAGTGCAGAGAAGAACCTTTGTGTGACGAGTAGGTCAAGAACGGACATTGTAAAAAGGACTGGTGTTGAACAGAGCTTTTTGAATATATAAAACGTTTAAAGTAAGAGAAGAGAAAGAAATCACTTTTCAAAGGTTTTCCCGTGGTCTTTTCTCATTCTTCGGATATGATGTACAGTGCTAATGGGTGTTTAATTCTGAAGCAGCAGGCGAGGTGATAAATACTAAAGGGAATTCTTCCGTCTAAAGAAAAGCAGTTCAGAACGTAACTTCGTTGACTCGGTTGGTAACACAACTCATAAGAAAAGCGATGTGAATAGCAAAGAGTATGTCACCATCTATCCCGTCTATAATGCCAAACACAGGTTTGTCTAGCGCTTCACTTTGTAGAAGAGTGCCTCATGCGCTCTACACTGCGAGTTACTGTACTTAGTATGTTCGATACTGTGGCCACAGTTGCAGTTCAGGTACTGGCAGGCCACGTATCCACACTTGCTTTGCACCACTCGACAAAAAGGCAGACAATCGACACATAATTCATTCCAGGTGCTGTTGCACTCTATTTTCTAAAATCCTAGCTCTGCTCAGTGCTTGCCAATACTTTACATATTTCTTCTAGGACCTCTCACCGTCAAATCCACAGAACGATAAGTCGAATGGAAAGCGACCAATTTTCTACTTCCATATCAAGGCAACGATGTTCAGGTGACTCGTTAACCTACTCGACGTTGTTTGATCGGCGAAGAAAGTTAAGTATGGCAAACTGGTCAAGGCCTGGAAAGTGTGCTAAAAATTAGTAAATATGTGTGAAATATTGAGCTGTTTCAACTGTTCGTGATTTGGGTATTGAAGTTCTTACAGTCCTTCGGGAAGCTTTGCTACTGCTCATAATTTGTCACTTCCATTCACCATCGCTACGCGTAGAAACCAGGTATGTGGAAACTTTGTGCAAGGGGATCCAGTAGGTCTAATGACTGATCTTGCAGGACTGTCAGGTTCAGCGCATGATGTCATCATACACGGCCACCATATTCTGGCTGTATGGTTGTAATCATCAAGAGGGACTGATCCTCCAATGGGTTGACGACGGTGTGTTATCTCTTAATGCCATGGCGATTTTTAGATGGCTCAAGCGAGAGCGAAAGACTACGAATTTCACTGACTGCGTTACACATCACACTGGACGCTTACCTAGATAGTGATAATGGGTACAAGTAAAAATTGTTTTGTTTGTAGAAACTCAAACGACCTTTCTGCAATTTCAGACTGGTCAAAATATTCATTATTTCTTTTATTGTTATTAGAGAGAATAAATTTCAGATCAGTTAATGGTCTTGTACAATTATAGGAATGCACTGGGAACAGTTCAAGCACTTATACAAGCAACACTTTCAAGTGAACGCGGGTGTACAGCGAGGTCTGATCGACGAAGACTTCGAGCTCCTTAAGTACAAGCTGCAGTGCCCTGACTGCCAGTCCGGCGAGGACGGCGCCAACGTCAATGGAATTCAGCGTAATATAGCGTTCTTGTAGTACTCAAAGCCAGTAGAGCAAAACTGCGGTACTGTACAAGAAAATCCTGAAGTACGTTGACTTAGTAGGAATTGAAGTCGCCTGCATGTCTCTCACGCAAACGTATTAAATTTACAACAAGGATGTGGATTAGTAGTTAGAACTGCAAAAGAAGGCCTTTACAGTATTTTCAGCAGCCTTCGGGGAATTTCACGAATATATAAAACTTTGTAGGAACTACAAGGGTCATGTTTAGTAAGGGTGTTTTCAGTAAAGGTAGTGTGTAATATCTCTACGGAGAATTTCGTGGGGATGTAACACCAGTGGGGATGTAACACCACCAACACATCCAGTAAATGTTAGTTCTATGGGCCGCTTTCGTCGTTTGTAGTTGTAGTGCTCTTGAAGAAAGGCAAATATCCCATGAAAACTGAAGGTTTTTCACAGAAAAGTGGCGAAATGGATGTAACCTTTTATAGAAATTGTGCGGTTCAAGAATGTGCTGTGTCCACATCTGCGCTACGAGTGTGGCAGTACTAATGTTCGCTTCTCGGTCTGTGTTTGCTTGCTGCTAGCGTTTTCTTGTGAATATTAAATTTAAGTCCTGAACATCAGACTGCGTTTTACAAATTGCAGGTTTGGCGAGGAATGCTGGAATTGCTTCAGATTTTCCACGATACTCGCAATAATGTAAGGAAATTATGGGAAATGGGTCTGTTGTTGGGATTTATAGAGTTTGACGAGGCGAGTCTCTAAGTTTATACAATATCTGACGACCTAAGCTTCACCTGCTCTAAATAGCACAATTTTAGTGTGACAAGCTTCTGGAACAGCATAAGTCTGCGCTGATAATGCGGCTATCATTTGTTACTGGAGGTAATGAGCCGTGTAACGGAGCTCATCTATCATTCGTTTTTAGAGGAATTATTTCCCTGCATACATGTTTTTTATTACCTGCTAATGAATAACTCAAAAGAACAACTTTCTATAGACTTCGATATAGATAATCGAAATATGCGTATGTATATATAGATATATATATACATATACATATACATACATACATACATACATACAACATACATACATACATACCGCAGGTGTATGCGGTGGGGAACGAACGCGTTATTGTCCTTTCCGGGGAGTAACGCGTTCACCACCACACTATGCGGGACCTTGGTTTCGCATGTCTCTCAGCTAGTTCTATCTATCTTTGTCACATCAACCACCCCTCAGGGGGAGAAAATAATAGGTTAAAATTGTGACTAACCATATAATTCGGTGAAGTATCTATACTGAATCCCGTGCAGGTAGTAAAGTACTAGCTTTGTCCCACACATGTTACGCTGGGTTGCGTTAAAAAAAATGTCGAAGTGTGGTACGTGTGCCAAGAAATCTAAAAAAATGAAAGAAATGAAGATATTTTTAAAAAGTATGAGAAATGTGTACGAATGAATATTTGAAGGCAAAATGTGAGCGAATGAAAACCTTTTTATGTTTAGAAGCACTACGTGTCTTATTTATACGATTTCAGGTACAATTTGTTTTACTGTGAAATCCATGGCCCACACTCTTGATTATCGGGCAACTAGACCGATCCATCTGGAACCACTGGATCTAAAGAAACTCCAAACAAAATGCCTCAAAGACTATTTAAGAGACATCGCTGATGCTGAAAAGGTGCGATGTAACCTAGTAGTTGTTGCCATCAAAGAATTACCAGCAAGTCTGAAATACTTGTAAGAAAAGAAGTGTATATCTGGAAAATCACTGCCAAAACCATTCACTTCACTTTACTTATATTTACTCCTTTTATTTTTTACGGCAAGATATTATGTGAAATACAATCAAAATAATGCTGGGATATGGGTAAAACTCGAAACACCAGATGAGCTACGAACCCGCGACTGTTATCCACCGCCCCACTGAGGCTGTTGATTTGCGTTTCTCTGTCATCAGCATAACTAAGTCCAATGCTGAGTAGTGCTGTCAGGTCATTCCCGTTGACTGGTGGTTGCTAATAGTATTGTGAGCGTAAAAAAAAACTGGCTAAGAAAAAGGCAGATCCAGGGGCTCGGTGGTGCCATGGCTAATAAATGAGACCACGGAAAGGGTAACACAACGGGTTCAAGGGTTACTGAATTTTGTTTACTCATGTCTTAGCATCACTGTGGTTGTATTTCACGTAATAATCACTTCGTTGCTCCAATGTAACATAAACAACGATCAGGCTATGACGAATCCGGATACGACACCAAGACTGATAGCCTTGTTACAGTTGAGAAACGAATTCAAGAACGTTACCATATTGTTTTGGTTGAACGAAAGTTAGACGTATATTTGGAAATAAAGACGACTCATACGTTTAGAACATTATAGTTTTTATATCGACATCATCTACTTGTGATTGTGGTAGGTGAAGTACATTCTGAACGCATCGCACCAAGTCGTACGAATTACTGAAGTTCTGGCTCAATTGGGAGAGAGCGATATTGGTGAAGGTGTTGATGGAAGTCGTGACATTTCCAGCAACGTCACTCACTCAGGAGATATCGCTGCCATGCAGCACATCAGGTCGGGAGCATTTTGTAGCTGTTTCATTTGATAAAAACACTAGTGCTTTAGATTCACCGCTATGCGGATCGCAGTCGTGACTTGCAAGGTGAAACCACCGTCTGCTGATCAGCACGAACTTGAGCTTGACAGGTGTGTAGTACGTTAAATTGTGAGGGTCTAGCTGTCTACGTTTTCTCGAAGCGAAATAAATAATAAAGGATAAAGCTGTCGATGTTGATCAATCTCCAAGAGATGCGCCACGCTTCCAACTTCATTAAGCATCGTTGGAGGGGACTGAATGCACATCTGGCCCTTACAATAGCTCGCGGTGGCCTACCGATATATCGAGCGAGTGCTGCTATCCTACCAGACAAGTGTGCTAGCAATTTATGGACCCCAGATGGATGGAAGACTTGGCGGGCCAATGGTGCCTCCAACCACTTCGCCACATGCGCAAAAGGATTTGTGAGTAAAAAATGTCGCAAAATTAGTGGTCAATCGTTGAGTAAGCTGGTTAGGAGTGGAGCCCAACTCGAGTCGAAGTGTTTGCAGCGCTATGCTTGTGACCTGTGTTTGCTTTTGTTACTTATGCTTTTGAAGTACCAGTAGAAAACAACGATAAGTGGCCGAACTTTTCAACAGGTTTCCATTTTGGCTTTATATTTCATAGAGCAACTGGTTATAGAGTGACAGCTATGCTATAAGCTTAGCCGCATACAAGAATATCACCCACATCTGCTTATTTATTCAATTAATGCCAACCACAGGAACCGTTCATTGTTTAGCAGCTCTTACCGTATACCTCCTGTAGCACCGCCTAACGATGATTTTCTCCGTGAACTTGTCCAGTTAGCGGCCTTCCATGGAAAATCTAGACAGGTACGTATTCCCGAAATCCAAGAAATTAATGAACTTTTAATTGTTAACCGTTTTATTTGCTGCCTACTCTTTTCGATGGCAGGGTATGTTGCGAAATTTAACTTCATCGATGCTGAGATATTTGCAAAACTCCGGACCGCAGGTGTATGCCGTGGGGAACGGACGCGCTATTGTCCTTTCCGGGGAGTAACGCGTTCACCACCACACCATGCAGGTCCTTCGTTTCGCCTTTCCCTCAGCTAGTTCTATCAATATCGGCCATCAGCAATCACGCATCAACGGGATTGATCTGGGGAGCCCAAGTCGGCAATGAACCCAGTTAAGCTGAAGCTTTGGTTATAATCACAATCTTAACCGGTTAAAGTAAAAGGGTAAACCCGTTAAGATTGTGACTATAACTAAAGCCTCAGCTTAACTGGATTCATTGCCGATTTGGGCTCGCCAAATCAATCCCGCTGACGGATGATTAATGATGGCCGAAATCGATAGAACTAGCTGAGAGAAAGGCGAAGCGAAGGACCCGCATGGTGTGGTGGTGAACGCATTAGCCTCCGGAGAGGGTAATAGCGCGTTCGTTTCACACAGCATACACCTGCGGTCCGAAGCTTTGCAAATATCTCAGCATCATTGGAATTCCAATTATTTGTTGTTTAGGATATTCTCGACGTCGTTGATTCACTGAGTGACGAGTATTTCACCCAAAAATTCAATGGGATGTCGTTCAACGACAGCAGAACCCACTCAAGCATCTCTTCACAAGCATCCATTCAGCAGTCCTCTAGCGGGACCACCACTCCCATTTTGTACAACACCGCGTACGAAAACTTTGAATACGTGTGAATTTTATTTAGCCAACTATCCGTCTTGTGCCTGTCTTTGTTTTTTATCGATGTAATTCACTTTTTTGTTGTTCTTTGACAGCGTTATTTCCTTTGCATATGGCGGGTCGTCACAGTATGCCTAACTCTTGAAGGCTCGACAATGTGGAACATTGCTCACATATATTTCTTTTAAAAACGTGATTGTATATCACTTGTGAATAAGTCTATCGCGAAATTGTTTTTGTTATACAACCACAACGATGCTGAGATATTTGCAAAACTCCGGACCGTAGGTATCTGAGGTGGGGAACGAACGCGCTGTTACCCTTTCCGGTGACTAACGCGTTCAGCACCACACCATGCGGGTCCTTTGTTTCACCTGTCTTTCATCTATTTTTGTTATATTCAAGAATAATCATCAAGGAATCCTGGTGACGAGAAAAATTGTCGGCACACTAGAAGGCCATCTGCACTGTTCCATGTTGCGTTGAAATTCAGAAGGCCATGTATTTTTGAATTTGAATACATGGCTACGCTTATGTGCCAGCCCGTTACTTAATTTTTGCTTGTTAAACCTTCAGCATAATGAATGAAATAGTGCATGTAAGGGATGTCCGGGAACACCACATAGTGTGTCCAGCGATTCGTCCTTGAGATTGGTGCGATCGCCGCTAACAGTAGGTTGATATTGCAATCGAAGGTCGCTCTGTTCTCATTTCCTGTTTGTCTGCCCGATTACTCCAATATGAACGTCGTCCCTATAATTCATCACTAACCGTCCGTTATTCCACGTGCCAGCAGATGTTTCAGAAGCTCGCTACATGACCTCTTATCAAAGATTGGCCTGTTGCTTCTATCGAGCATTGCTAACTATTGCTTTCATTTTCTTTGTTCACTTAAATGGTATCTGTTCTCATCTATTTTGAGAATTCGAACACTTTTTTCACTCGATTTGCTCCCACGCATCCATCTTCCACGAAAATCTTCGAACTTTTTACCTCTTAGTTCGAATGGTGCATGAGGACTTTCGTCTTTTTCACGAACGTCCTTGAATGCTAGTCGAATTGATTCTCACTGAAATCATGAAATAGCCGCGATAGGGCATTCCTACTTCGATCGCGAGGAGTGAACTGTTCGTAGAGATCCTAAACAAGCATGATGCAAATTTAAAACTCTGGACGAATGTGAGGCTTGAGAGATCCAGAAAGGGAATTGAATAAGCGCCATGCCCAACTCTCGTTGCGTAATGAAAGAGATCGCCACCACTACGCTACCTGCTCTTTAATAATTTTTACTGTGCACTAAAAGAGCAAAAATAATCATCAGAATATGAGAATTCATGTCTGTGTGCCCACTATGGACTATTGAAGTGAAGGTGCTGGAAAGCAAAGATTCTCCCTGATTTGAAACGACTTAAATTTGGAAGCAAAAACTAATTTGGTTAATGTAGGCCGGTCCCTAGAGTACATGCATATGTACAAAATTAATCAAAAGAGGATTTATATGAGCAGGCTACAATATTTGCTCAGCAGCGATAGTACAAATTGACCTATGAATTGTTTACGATGGGGTTATTTGAACAACTACTCGTGTCATTCTCCATCCATTGACTGATCACCAATCCGGTTCTATATAGACTAATGGCTTCGAACGATCATCACGAACATGGTGCTAGTTCGATTCCGCTCCGGACCAACCAAGCCTCTCATCTCTCCAGGATCGGGAAATTGGTATCGAATTTTTCCGCTAAAAATCACTCTCCACAATCCAATTGGAAACACTCCAGTCCGGCTATCTCAGGACTCCAGGGAGAATCGACTCGATAAGCATTTTACGACATTCAAGATGGGACGACAATCCTCAAACAGTAGCGGAAGCCACACGTAAAAGTTGGAGGACATTCGTGGACAATGGGTTCGAGGAAATGAATCGAATGTAAGAAGTCCTGTAATCCTCACAGTAGACGTGAATATAGGTCATATAAGAAAGAAAGAAAAGTGGAAAAGGAATTGTGAAAAAGCGATAGTGGAACCGATTTGGCACAGAAATTTCCCATCGGACAACATTGTGCGCGTAGAGGAACCAGTGATCCCTAATGTACCAGCTCTAATTCATTAGCTGATAACGAAAACTTCGCCTATGCAAGTTTCAGGTGGCTCTGCATAATCCACTGCTCTTCAACATTTCTGACTTCACTTAGTACTATCGTTTGCCCATTATAAATAGAATCTCCTTTTGCAGTTATTATTTATTTACTTTATACCCTACTTTCTACCCAGCACAGTGAGCAGTTTCTGTACCGCCTTTATTGAGGGGTTTCATCCTGTGAGAGTTCTTCTACTTCTTCACCTTTGAAACCATTGCTTTTCTTTGTATGTGACGATTATTTTACTCATACGCTGTATGAGATTTTTTGGAATAGATAAGTACTGTTTGGACAGATTTAGTAGACACGCTGAGACAATTTTTACGGACTGCGAAGTAGGACATAATAAGTGACGCTTCATGACGAAGAAACACTACCGGATAGCCGTCCTTGGTGCCTCTGCAAGCGGAAAAACATCTTTGGCAAGTTAACTTCGCAGTGGCTTTACTGTTTATGAACAATGTACTGTCTATAGGATTTCTCAAAAGTTCGCTCTGCCTATACATACTTAGATAGAGCTCCCCAGAGCTCCATTTGTTCCTTTCTCCCTAGAACCGTTATTCTAAGTGAGTGGACTGTGAATCGGTAGCTCCAACAAGGTTTCCCAAGATGAGAATAAGATTTCCATTCGAGATACTATAAGGTAAATAAATGTCAGGAATCGTCGCCGTGCTGGTGATAAACTTGAATAGAAATAGAAAATCTGCCTCTAATCCGCAAGCGTTGGTGAAACCTGAAATAAAGTGCCCGGGTAATGTATGGAGAGTGTCTAAGAGTCGCCTTCAGCAAATAAGCTTTATGCTTACTCCGGAATAGATCAACGAGCCACTCTTGACTATGGCCAGCAATACATGGAAGAACCTGCTAAGCTACTGGGTAAGTAATATTGACATTGTTTCTAAAGAGTAAATATTTAGAGCGGTCACAGGAAGCGACATTGCAACAAATGTCGACGAGTAACTTATGTAAACATCATGACCTTTATGAAGAAATTAACAATATCACCACTGCAGACCGTAGGTGCCTTCAGTGAACGAAAGTACTACTACCCTTTCCGAACCTTTTCAAAAAGAAGGACCCGCATGGTGTGGTGGTGAACGTGTTAGCCCCGGAAAGGGTAATAGCACGTTCGATCCCCACCGAAGACACTTGCGGTGCGGGGTTTTGCAAATATCTCAACATCACTGTGCTTAACAATATAGTTCATTTCAGACTACCATCGTTTGCAGTGCTATCCTAAATTTGGCTATTACTTTGGCAATGTGCTGAATCCACTTAGACGAACTCTTGTCATACGGAAGTTATAAGCAAGCTAATAAGACAACTTTCTAAAGAGAATCTTTACAGATTCGTCGATTTATCTCTGATGAATACAGCGACACGTACGATCCGACAATAGAGGACCGGTACAAAAAGTCGTTGATGTACAAAGGAACTACGGCACACCTGCAGATCTTAGACACCGCTGGAAAGGTGAGAATTCCACTTAAATGAGGATTATTCTCTTAATGCCGAAAAAATAATCCTATGGAAGATGTCAAGAGTCGAGGAAGCATTTCCATCAACGGCCTTCCACAGATGGGTCGCTATCAGTTTTTCAGCAAAATTCTTTCCTCACAACTCTATACGAAGTAGAGAATAGCTGACCAAGGTGGTCATCTATCCTGGGCCAAAATGTAGATTTGTTCACCTCGTTAGACTTCAAAACAGTTTTCGATGCGGCAGAATGGCAGTTCTCATCTCTGATTTGTTGTCAGAAAATTTTTTGACTTGTTAGAGAAATAGTGCTATCCTGCGTTTTAGTCCACAATGCTGCAATGATCTTACCATTCCTATTGATGATGACAGTAACTCGTAAATCACATGGGGACTCCACGGGTTGATTTCCTGTGTGGCAACGGAAGCGAAGATCAAATGACTGCACTCCGACGTCTCCGCCTAGTTCGTAGCCGCTTGCGGCGATTGTATGGTCGAGCGCTCGCGGACATGTGCTGGGTGCGGTCCGAGTTGCTAAGAGTGACTCATTCTGATGCGCCCTCTCCGAAATCTGCTCAGATGTAGCAAAAGACAGGGAGATCGCAGCAAAATACAAACGTTAGCTGAACACAAGGCGTGTGCCCTTTTCATTGACAATTTTTTTTTTAATTCGAACAACTTTAAGACGGTTAGAAATAGGTAGTCTGATGAAGGAAAGTTAGAGAAAGAGAGTAATATTTGAGATATAATATATTAAAATTGAATGACATATAAAATGGGGCACATGTAGCGCAGTGATA